GCCTGAAGTTGGGTGTGTGCAACATACACAGGACCATTAGTAGAACTCAGCATCTTGAACTGGGAGAAAGGAATTTCTGTTATTTCAAAGCTTAAAAAGGAAGAAGAAAAAGAAAACAAGAAAGGTAGGCATAGCCTTGACCATGGCTCTTAGACACTGCTTTCTTTGAGTGTTCTGTCTACAGGAATGACAGCTTTTTGCAAGAGAAAAATTCTGTCTTCTTAAAGTAATCACTTTGGCTGTCACATGGAGAGTAAACTGTGGCAAAGAAGCCACAAAAGATCTGCCAAGAGCAGTGTTGTTGCCCACCAGGATGGTGGTGACAGAGATGGATGCAGTATTTGTGCATCCCATAATGCCTGATGAGTCTTCACTGTTGTGTCTCCTGCTGCTGTTTGTAATATCTCCCATTGGAGAACATTAGAACTGATTAAGAAAGTGCCATTTACCACCTACAAATATTTGAGTTTAGTGAGTTGAAAGCTTAAGTTAGTTCTTGTCTGAGCTCCTCAAATTCAGGGCTGGCCAGGAACATCGTCTTCCACAGTAGTGACTGCAGTCTGTCCATGTTCCCCAGGTACCACTTTGCCCATGCATCTAGTGCAAAGGAGTTCCATGGCCATTCCTCTCCTGTGCATATATGAGTAAAGCTCTGGGTGCAGCTTAGTACCTGTGCTTTGACAAACAAGGCCACATACCCATGTACTAATTCAGAATTTAGCCTGAGAGAACATTGAATTCTACTCCCTTGTTTTATAAGGGAGTAAACAGAGGCCTAGAGGCTTACATTGACCTGCCCAAACTCTACGTAGAAAATTCCTTTCTTGGTGTGTGGGCCAATTCTTTTATATTCAAATATATTCTTTTACTCTCCTGCTCTGTCATTTATTTGTTGAGGTTCTCATAGGTATTGCTAATGCAGTGAAAATTTCTGCAAACCTTTCCTGCATGATAGTCAGTATGTTGTGTATTCAGAACGTTGTTAGTGCTCTCATGCTGTTAACAGAGCCCCGTTAGAAGTAAGTTAAAGACTGAGATTTGAGATATGAAGGAGATTTTAAAAAGGGGGGAGCAGGCACTTCTCCTTAATTCCACAGGCAGCTACTGTTAATGTTTGGCAAATAATCTTTTGTCTTTTTTTAATTATTATTTTTATTTTATTTGTATGCGTGTATTGCCTGCAGGTAGGTAAATGCACCCATGTTGTGCAATGCCCGCAGAGGACAGAAGAGGCTGTTGGATCCCCTGGAACTGGAGTTACGGACAGTTGTTAGCTGCCATGTGGGTGCTGGGATTTGAGCCCAGCTCTTCTTCAGGAACAACCAGTGTTCTTAACTGCTGAGCCATCTCTCCAGCCCCCCTTTGTCTTTTCTTTACTTTATGTATTTATTTATTTATTTTGGTGTTTTCGAGACAGGGTCTCACTGTAGTGGGGGCTGGCCTGGAACTCACTATGTAGACCAGGCTAGCCTTGAACTCACAGAGATCCGCCTGTCTCTGCCTCCCGAGTGCTGGGACTATAGGTGTGTGCCACCACACCCAGATTCTTTACATTTTTAAACCTAGCCATGTCTTTTGAGGGCCTTCTTTTTTTTTAAAAAAAAAAAAAAAAAAAAGATAGGGTCTCCCTGTAGTTCCTGCTGGGGTGGAATTCAATATGTAAACCAGAATGGCCTTGAACTCACAGAGATCTGCCTGCCTCTGCCTCCCAAGGGCTGTGATTAAAGATGTGCACCACCACACCCAGCTTCTCATTTTCATTTAGTAACACAGACATTTCCCTGTATTGTCAAAAAATCTTTGGATAATTTTCAGTACCTTTATGGTATTAAACACTATGGATGCACCATAAGTATCCTTAAAATTCTTTTTTTATCTTGTTTAAATAATTATGCAGTGGTACCTCAAAATATGGTAGAAAACTATAGAGAAAGCAAAGGGCATTCTAAATTGGGGAATAATTTAGGTTTTCCCCAACTTTCGTCAGTGTTAGATTTTTCCCTCTTAGTGGCTATGTGGCTTGCTACCCAATGAGGATATAACTTCTCTTGATCAGTAGATCAAATCTGACTTTTCAAGTAAGACAGATGGCAGCAGATTATGCTGGCTAAAAGTGTGGCCGCTCCCTTTGCAGCTCAGTTTTAAATAATGTCTTTGTGTCTTAGTTTCTTGGCCTCTTCTTTATTTGAAGGTGGTACTGGGGATCAAAAGTGGGCCCTTGAGCATGCTAAGTACATGCTGTACCAATCATCTCCATCCCAGGCCTGGATGTCTGGTTCCTTACTGAAAAATGGTAATGACAGCTATGCACTTAGAATAGGGCCCAGCATAGGGCAAGGGCTGCAGAAAGGGGCTTCTATTTTTAATAAGTAAGAAAATTGATGTTATTGGCCGTGGAAAGCAGCTTTTCGGTGAGTTTTTAAAAAGAAATGGAAAGGGAACCTGCCTCAGGTGCAGCCCATTCTTCCCCATCTCCCTACCATCCTGGAGGGCTCAGCTGCTGCCACATATAGCTGCCTGTCCACTGTTTGGATGCCCAGGGCTCTCCCAGGTGAATTGCTGTGGAGGATCTGTGATCACCCTGCCTGCAGTAGACCAGACAGCTTCTTACTCCTTTAACTGTAGGCTAAGATCCACTGATCAGCCTTCCCACCCTTTGTCCCCATCTGTTTCCTCAACCTCTCGTACCTGCCATTCTTCCCTGACAGAGCTCAACATTTTTATATTCTACATGTGAATGTGACTACTTGTGATACTTGTCTTTCTGTGCCTAATTTATTTCACTTAACGTAATAGTCTTCAGTTTCATCAGGGTTCCACAAATAGTAGAATTTCTCACGCATTTTGTGACTGCATAATGTTCTTTATCCATTTATCTGTTGATAGGTGCTTAGGTTGTGTTGGTTTCTTGGCTATTGTGAATACTGTTACAATAATGACAGAGTGCAGCTGTCTCTGCAACCTGTAGATTTAATTTTCTTTGGATGTTTTCTAGGTATCCGTTCAGATGAATGTTAGGAATAACTTGTAGGTCTTGTGAACAATGCTTCTGATTACATTTCCACACTAATATGTCTTTAGACAGTTTGCGTTTCTTTTTGTTTGTTTGTTTCGTAAGACAGGGCCTCACTATATAACCCAGAGTGGCCTGGAACTCACTATATAGATCAAGCTGGCTTTGAATTCACAGGGATCCACCTGCCTCTGCCTCTGTCTCCTGAGTGCTGGGATCAAAAGAGTGCGATACCATATCCAGGTGTCCTTTTGTGTTTCTTTCTCTACAGATAACCTATTTAATATCTTTTACCTATTTTTCCATTGTTCTTGTTGTTCGTAGGTAGGAGTTGCATATATATTCTGAATACAACTGCTTTGTTCTGTGCTTTTTCTTTTTGTTTGGCAGTTTAACGGTTTCTCCTTGATTTATATCTTTGTGTTCTCTCGTTATGTATTCTCTGTGTAGCTATGTCATAATTTATCTGTTCTAATGTTGATAAACATTTGAGCAATTTCCAATTTAAGGCTATTGTGAAAAATCTTTTACGTATGTTTTGTTAAACATCATATACATTTCTGTTTAGAACTTTTTTATTTTTCTTGTAAGTAGATCATCCCCTGCTTTGATGTCGTGAGGCTTGTTTCCCACGTTTTCTTCCAACAATGGCAGGCTTTGCTTCCCACACTCAGTTCTTTCATCTTCCTGGGTTATGAAGTAGGATTGCATGAGATTCAGGCCTCAATTGTTTTTCATACAGATAACCATCGCCACCAACGTTTAATGAATGTGGCCTCTTTTTTGGCTAGTGTGTGATCCTCACACATACCAAGTGCCTTGTATAGATTTGTTCCCGGGCTTCCTGTTTCCACTGTTAGCCTTTCCCTAAAGCTGCACCCCGTTATTATTTACTATGGTGTTACAGTAATGTCTTCCTCTAAGTCCTGCTTCCTCCAGTTGATGTGTTCCACTATTGGTAAATATTTTAGATATTCTGGGTTGGGACCATGATGGAAAGCTCTCCTGCAAACAGCCTTTCGTGTATCTTCTTGGTGTAGTGTCCCATGCGCATTTCTGTGTGTTGTGCACGGGAGCAGAACTGTTTGGCTGTGTCTCTTTAGCAGAGGCTACTGTGGCTTTTCAAACATGGCATAGTTTGTTTCTCCAGCAGCAGAATAAGAATTCAGGCTCTTTGATCTTTGCCCAAACTTAAGGCTGACAGTGTTGACAGGTGTGGCTTCCTTTTCTTTCTTTTTTTAAAACTTTAGCTGCCATGTATGGGAAGTGATGCTGTCTCTTTATGGTTTGTTTTACTTACTGAAAATGGATAGCTTTTCATATTCTTACCTTTGTGTATTTTTGTCAATGCCCTCCCTCCCCCTGCCGCCAAATGAGATGGGGCCAGTGGGAGGCAATTAGGTCACTGGAGGCACTGCCTTCAGAAGATTGTATTGCTCTCTTGGAATGGGTCATTTCCCACAGAATGGGCTGTAAAAGAGCAAGGCTGGCCCCTCCTGGTCTCTGAATTCCTGTCTACAAAGCGAATTGCTCCTGGAGATACTTCACCATTGTGATGTCATCCACCATGAAGCTCTAGAACTTTGACCTAAATAAACCTTTTTCCTTAACAAATTACCTAGTCCCAAGCATTTGTAATAGGAATAGGGATTCCTATTTGAAATAGGAATAGAAAAGGGATTGATTTAGTGATATATGTAAATATGCCACAAAGCTATGCTTTGCCTAATGAATTCCTACTTGGTGGATAAACTATAGACATTACATTTAAAAATCTTCTGAGTCAGGCCTTGCATGGTACATACTTACTATCCTAGCACTTGGGAGATGGAGGACCATAAGTTTGAGACCTACCTAGTCTGCATAATGAATTGAAAGCTATGGGCTATCTAGTAAGATCCTGTCTCAACCTGCTCTCCCAAGACAAAAAACAAACCACCCCAGACCTCATCTGGTACAGTAAGTAAAATTCCCTTTTTATTTCCAGGAAGACTCTGAGAGAGTCATGATAATTACTGGACCCAATATGGGTGGAAAGAGCTCCTACATAAAGCAGGTTGCACTGATCACCATGATGGCTCAGATGGGTTCCTACGTTCCTGCAGAGGAAGCAACGCTTGGGATTGTGGATGGCATTTTCACAAGGTAACGATGTTAGTTCTCTTTGAATATATCTCTGAAAATAAGTCAAGCCCACATCATCACACAACATTTCTTTTTATGTACATATTTGGATGAGTGGGTTTACTTTTAAAACTCTCAGCTCAGGAGCTTCAGCCATTTTTCATCATGTACATCAAGGCTGGAAGAGACCTAGGGGTGTCATTTTTGTCCAGTGGTTTTCAAGTCTTTTTTTTTTTATTTTTTGCTTTGAAGAATTATTTTTTTAATCATTATACTTTTTAAATTTTTAATAACTACATGATTAGAAGCTTTTCACTACAGCTTTAACATATTCAGTAACACACTCCAGAGCAACAGTACATCTCTTTCAAAGTGGGTGCAAGTTTCTAGGTTCACAGTTGAATTAATATAGTTATATATTATTGAACTGAGTATAAGCCCGTAAGACATAAGATTGGATGTGTTTTTAACCTTTAAAAAAGATCTCCATTTCATTTTACAATATATTGTTCCTTGCAGACAGACTCATTGCTTTTGCTACTAACACTGAGATGTTGACGCATGTATCTCTAATCTGTATGTAAACAATTTATAAAAGCAGAATACTATATAGTAACCCAGCTCTGTGTGTAGTGTGTCTGTTACTGTCTGGTTTCATATTTATACATCTGACTCTCAATTCTCACCAGAATGTATCATGTAACTATATTAATGAATATCAGCAGATATGGACCATTAAATAATCTTTCTTTAATTTTTAAAATTATAATTACTTTTCTCTTTTGTAGGAAAAAATGTTTTGGTTATAGTATTAGAGTAATAGAAATGCTGTAAATCAAAAGTGGAGAAAAATCACTTGGGCAACATAAAGTGACTTGTCTGGAAGAGAGCCTTGCAACTCTCAGAATACTAGTTAGTGTTTTTAGATACAAGTAATTAAAAAATAAATTCAGTATTAATAATAACAACAGGGTAACCTTGATGGTGGTAATGTATTTATAGTGGTTCTATGGTAACTTTCTTAGTAACTTACAGGCATACTCTATGTCTCTGTATACTTTATAGAAAGTATATCCAGCCGGGCATGGTGGTGCACGCCTTTAATCCCAGCACTCGCGAGGCAGAGGCAGGCGGATCTCTGAGCTCGAGGCCAGCCTGGTCTCCATTAGTGAATCCAGCTGCAGCTACAGGGAAACCTTGTCTCAAAAAGACCAAAAAAAAAAAAAAGGAAAGTACATCCAGTGAGTGCAGTTACAAACCTTATGGAAAGGAGAAGACCATACTCACTTCAAGAAATTTGAGTATTCATTGCTATTCATTTATTCATAAATTTAATTTTATTCATAAATCTAATGTTTGACAGGCACTGGGAAAGCAGAACTTCCTTGTTTCTGTGCTCATGAAACTTACCTAGTGGGAGAGTTGAGCACTGACCCAATGACCGTATGAAGAAATGTACAGTTGCTACTGTGATGGTTTGCAAAGGCCATCCATGTACAAGAAACTGCAGCCTACGATCTTGCTGGGGAGTCAAGGAAAGAGCTCCCTAAAAGGTGACTTTGAGGGCCTATGTGAAGAATGAGTTCATTAATCAAAGAAGGAATGAAGAGCGTTTCAGGCAGAGTGGCAAGTGCAGGCCTTCAGCATCAGTCAACGTAGTGAGACAAGGCACTGAGTGGCCCTCCAGGAGAACAAGGTTCTAGATGACACTGAAGAGTGGCTGGGGTAGCTCATGCAGAACATGGATGTGCTGAGTTTACCCTCATAGTCATGGGAAGCTCTTGAGGACTTAGGCAGGGCTTGGCATGATCATGTTTGCATTGACTGAAGAACCCAGGCTGTCTGGGAAAGAACCTAGTAAGTTAGAATGGTCCAGTCATTGTGCTCTGCAGTGGCCTTGGGAAGAGGGTTCAAGCTTTGGGCTGAGTTGGTAGGGCTAGTTTGAATGGAAAGGAGTTGCTTTTGAAAAGTAGTAAGAAAATAATCAGTAGGACTTGGTGAGAGGTAGGTACCATGACCGAGGTAAGAGGACTTGCTAAAGATGACAGTGGTGTGTGCTTCTGGAAGGAGAATCCAGGCAACAGTTATTAAAAGGGATGGGGGCGGGTAGGGGGTAATCTGTTTTCTGGTACTATTGTTACAGAATTTTACAGGCTGGATAGTTGGCTTTTGTTGTTTCATTTTAATGTGTGCATGCCTCCATGCATGCATGTGTATGTGTGTCTGTGTCTGCCTGTCTGTCAGTCTGTTCTGGTGTATGTGTATATCTCTGTGTGCATGTACCTGTGTGTGCTTGCATGTTGCAGCCAAAGGTCAGTCTCAGGTTCCTCAGGAGTCAGGAGTTGTTCACCTTGTTTCTTTGAGACAGGCTGGGGTTTTCTGGTTAGGCCTGCTCTGCCTCCCCAGCACTGAGAGGGCAAACTTGTGCCACCATGCCCAGCTTTTTACTTGGGTGCTGGAGATTGAACACAAGTCCCCGTGCTTGCATGGCAAGCACTTTACTGAGTGAGTCATCTCCCCTGCCTAAGACTGGGTAGTTAGTTAGTTTTTAAAAAAGAAATTTATCCTTATAGTCCTAGAGTCTGAGAAGTCCAAGGGCATATCACATGGGGCCCACTCTTATGACTTCATCAAACCCCAGTTTCTTCCCATAGGTCCATTGCTAAACAACATCAACATGAATTTGGGAATCAACATTACAACATAAAATTTTGAGTGGTGTACAAAAACAGGGTGATCCCTATCCCCACCATAGATTCTAACTTTTGTTTCTTTTTGTTACATAAGCAGTAGGATTATTTGAAGGAGTTTTATATTCAAGGAGAGCAATGATGTGAGCAGTTGCATAGGAGGCTTAGAAATTAGGGGAGAGATCAAGGTACAGACATAATAACATGTTGGGAGACTTCTTTATGTAAGTCACAGTTGAAGTTCTGGCTGCAGAGCTGTTTGTCTTGTTAGAGTGTAAAAGAAGACTCAGTGGAGACCAAGCTCTAAAGTGCTAGCATTTCATGCTTACGTAAGAAGAAAAGGCTGGAAGTCAACAGAAGAGGAGGAGCCAGAGAGGTACCTTCCAGGCTGGGGAACAGGGAGGAGGACTTCAGGAGAGGGACAGCAGTGCCAAAAGACAAGGCGAAAGCTGAAAGTCACTTTGTTCCTAGCAAGACAGCATCACTCACACCTTTAGCGAGAGCTGCTTTGGAAAGCGGTTACTCCACACTCAAGTTAACAGTGCATGAGGAGTAAGCCAGAGGTCAGTTGTCACTACGGAAGAATGGCCAGGAAGAGGAAGCAAGAGGCCTAAGGAGGGACTTTGTTTTCTGTTTTATTTATTATTTTTTATTTTATGTGTATGAGTATATTGCCTGCATGTATGTAAGTGCGCCTGTGTTGTGCAGTGCCCATGAAGGTCAGAAGAGGGCATCAGATTCCCCTGGAACTGGAGTTAAAACCAGTTGTTAGCTGCCATGTGGGTGCTGGGAATCAAGTCTGGGTCCTCTGCAAGAGCAGTCAGTGCTCTCAACCGCTGAGCCATCTCTTCAGCCCCGTGTGTTTTATTTTTGAGCACAGATTTGCACATGTTTTCCTGGGTTGTACAGAGGAAAAGTTGTTCTCAACTATTTGTGATTCTAACGAAACAACCAAAAATGTATTGATCACCTTTGGAGGGTGTTACAATGAGTTACAGTGATACTTGTACCAAAAATAGTCATTAGTTGCTTTGGCGGAAGAACACTGAAGGTAAAGATTGAAGTAGCCTTCTTACCTTGAGGGGGTATTTATCTTTATAGAAACTTCCCATCTAATAAAGCAAGAAAGATGATATTAGAATGCCACTCTTTTGTAGCCCTGATATAATAATAGATCTAGGTCATAGTTAGAAATGGCTGTTAATGTCACCCAATGAGGGACAGCCAGACAGCTGGTAAAAGTTTGAAACACAGGCTATGATGTCTGCTGGCCAAGACATCAAATCTAATTCCATTTGGATCCAGCTGGATCTGTCTCCAGGTGACAAGGGAAAATGGACAGAGGAACCTATTAACAGCTGGGGATTCTGTGAACAGAATCTAGATGTAGATGTGAGAAACAGCAGGATAAATGATGTGTTACCCTAGCCTATGAGGCTATAACAGATAACGAGACTGGGTAAATAATAAAGAACAGAGACTTACTTGACTCATTTGTTCAATTATAAAAGTAACAGATGCTTATTATAAAAATATCTAATAGTATAATAAGATATAAAGTCAAATAAACACAGAACCTCTTCTTTGTCCTGCTTGTCCTTGACTTTGGTGTTCATTCATGCATTCTCTATGTTTTTATTATGTAGGTTTAGTTTTTGAAATAATACATAACAGTATTTAGTTTAGGTTTAAATTTTTATTGAATTTTTTATGTATTTCATACACAACATCTCAAACAGTCTTAATCATCTTTATACCCCCCATCCCCACTGGCACCCTCCCATACCCCCCTCAATGGAGCCCATATACTCTGTCATCCTTCTTAAGGTAAGGCTCACTGGGTTGGCAGTGTCCCCAGCTGTTCCCCAATGCAAGTCCGTACACTAAGTCTAGTCAGCCTATCTAGAATCCCTTGTTTTAGGAAGATCAGTTCTTCTTCATCTAGCAGCAATCAGTTGACAACATTCCTTCAGATAAGAGGTCTGCTGTTCATTTCCCCAGTTCTATGCTGGGTTATTGTCTGCCTGAGTTTGCATAGGACTTGTTTATGCTGACACCATTGCCACAGAATCATATGAGCAGATTCCCAGGAGCTTGTAGGACTCTGTTTCCATATGGTCATGCATCTCCTCCCTGGCTCTTACCATCTTTCCTCCCTCTCTTCTGGGTTGGTCCCTGAGCCTTGGATGGGTGAAGTTTAATAAAGGGATCCTGTCCGAGGACCATCATTCAACAGACTCTTGATCTCTATACTTTGGCTATTTGTGACCTTTTGTGTTCCTGGCCTTCCACTGCAAGAAGGAGTTGCACTATTGAGAACTGAGAGATTCA